TCCGGTTTCGGCAGGGTACCGCGTAAACGTGGAAATGCGTAAAGTGAAATCGCGTAAAGCGGGGGTTTACTGTATATTATATCCCACACACCCATTTGCACCACCTACTGAGTTTGGCAAGGGTGGTTCCAAAGATTTCACCTCCATCCAAGTATCTTATTCTTTTTTTACATAATAGAATAGCTGCTCCTCGACTTATGACGGGGTTAGGGACCCAAATCCAGGTAGTAAGCCGAATTGGTCGTAAGTCGAAAATGCTTAAATACATAGAAAATCTAAAATGGGTGTCTCTTTTTCTTCTCAGCACCATAAAGCTCTAACTTTTAAGCTTGCCAGCCATTTTCAAGTGAATTACAAACGAAAATTTTGTCAGTACACAGCGCAATCACTAACGTTGGGACTCGAAAATACGTAATTTGACAAAATTTTGATACGACTGAGGCGGTCGTATGTCCTGGTGGTTGTAGGTCGAGTGTGTCGTAAGTCAAAGGGTACCAAACCCTCTATGATCCAGGGTTGTCATTATAATCAAAATTAATTTTATTTTAAATAAAATAATCTAAAAAAGTAAAAAGATATTTGACACTATTTTGTGTACTATCACAATTTATCATCTAAAAATCTATAACAACATACAGATAGATAGACAAAGTCAACACATTGACCTTTTTGCCATTGTTAATGTTCATGTATGACTAATGAAGTTATATTTGTACTCAGTTTGCATTATTACCTCACTAAATTAGGTGTATTTAGGTGGTTACTATGGGTTTACTAATGCTTCTTTTTAACATACTACTACTTGGCAACTCTTCCCAGAGCCATATCACCCCGTGAGGAATATCAGCTGGGTAAATTTACTGGGTGAATTTACTCGTTTTGTCATGGTCTGTGTTCACGTATGACTTAGAAGATATTACAGTCGGCCCTTAACATACGCGGGTTTATAATACACGGATTTGCAAATACGCAGATTGCCCCGCCGGAGGAATATTCTGTACATTGAATTACATTCAAATCGCGCGCCATTAAACTCGCGCGCGGCACCGAACATGGGACACCGCCCGCTCCCGCAACCTCACACACACACGCATAGCTCTCCCTCACTCAGTCAGTCTCGCTGTAACCACGCTTGTGTTGACATCAGCATTGTAGTTGCAAAAATATTAAATTTCTGTGAATGTATTATATCAAGCACAGTATGAATAGAATATCACTAATATAAGAGTATTTTAACCGAAAACTACTAAAAAAAACGAGTAACATATCTTGAACATCGGAAGGTTAGGTAAAGTCTTTTGTTTTCATGTAGTTTATCCTAATTTACATTGAAATGCATTACGTTTCAGCAAAACTACTATTTATTTCTGAGAATATGGAAATGTAATATTTTCCTGAAATGACGTACGTATTACAGTGGAAAGTGACAAAAGCAATGACTCGCTTTCTTTCGTTCAAAAGATGTTAACGTAATCGCTTTTCGAATGGTTTTCAGTTAAAAAACTGTTGTATTACAATAATATTCTGTCCTAATTCACTTGTGATGCAACAGCTTTTTTAACTGAAAACCATTCGAAAAGCGATTACGGTAACATCTTTTGAACGAAAGAAAGCGAAAGTCATTGTTTTCGTCACGATTTTATCCCACTTTCCACTGTAATACGTAAGTCATTTCAGCAAAAATATTACATTTCCGTGAATGTAGTATATCAAGCACAGTATGAATAGAATATCATTGTAATATAACAGTATTTTAACCGAAAACTATTAAAAAAACGAGTAACATCTCTTGAACATTCGAAGGTTAGGTAAAGTCTTTTGTTTTCGTCATGTATTTTATCCTATTTTACATTGAAATACATCACGTTTCAGCAAAACTACTATTTATTTCTGAGAATATATTCATTCAGGCACAGTTTAGGTAAAATATACATGTGCTGTAACATTTTTTTAATTGAAAACGATTCGAAAAACACGTACCCTCTAGCCCTGTTCAAGGAGAAGACTGGGAGGAGCTGTTTGGTGCTTAAGACGATGACAAGGAAAATGATTTTGATGGATTTTAATGAAAATATTCAGAAAGACCCTGGCACTGTCAAGGAAAGTGGCTGCTGAAGGCTTCCAGGACATGACAGAGGACGAGATTAGGGAGCTAATTGAAGAGCACGACACTGAGCTGACCGAGGAGGATCTACAGGAGTTAGTAGACTCAGGCGAGGAAGAGGAAGCGAAAGGGAAAGAGGAAGAGGAAGAGCACCAAGAAATAACGTTGGAGAAGTTGGGGGAGATGACCTGGAATATTGAGGCACTGAAAAACCTGGCCTATAGTATGGACCCCTCCATGGTGCGTGCCCTGAAATTCATGCGAGGGATGGATGACGTTTTTGCTCCATACAAAAACATCATGGAAGAAATGAAAGAAAGAGACGACAACTCCCCATCACCATGTTCTTTGATCACCGAAGGAGAGATTTAACACCATCAATCACTGGCGGCAGTGAGGAAGCAGCTGAATCCACCGTCGCCCCCACTTCACCACCCGTTATGGAATTCAGTGACGATGAGCCCGATGACCCCCGTCCTGTCGCCGAGGATAGGTACTGTACAGTAAAGTGAAATTTTTATCTCTTTTTTTTTAATAGCTTTTCTTGCCATGTTTATTGTTTGTAAAAATGCACAGCACAGTACAGTTCAGTACTGTACATAGGAAGTGGAGGTGCAGTTATTCACAAAACATTTGTGTTTGTTGTCGGCAGTAGTGACGGTGAGGAGGTGGAGGAGGCGGAGGGAGCGAGTTGGGAGGAGTGGTGACCTTGGACGCGGGAGCAGGGACGAGTGGAGATGCCAGCCAGTACATTTCGGGTGTATTAATTGTTTTTATAGCTATTTTTGCATTTTAATATTAAATACTGTACATTACGTTTCAACAAAACTACCATTTATTTCTGAGAACATGGAAATGTAATATTTTTGCTGAAATGATGTACGTATTACAGTGGAAAGTGGGATAAAATTGTGACGAAAGCAATGACTTTCTCTTTCTTTCGTTCAAAAGATGTTACCGTAATCGCTTTTCGAATGGTTTTCAGTTGTGGGATTATAAGGCTAATGATAGGATAGAATATTATTGTAATACAGTACGAGTACAACAGTTTTTTAACTGAAAACCATTCGAAAAGCGATTACGGTAAAATCTTTTGAACAACGAAAGAAAGCGAAAGTCATTGTTTTCATGATTTTATCTTTCCACTGTAATATGTACATCATTCCAGCAAAAATATTATATTTCCATATTTATTTCTGAGAATACGTATATTCATTCAGTCACAGTTAAGGTAAAATATACTTGTGATGTAATATTTTAATGAAAATACGGTATCGTAGTTTTCTTTTGTTTCAAATTTAATTAACAAAGATTGATGTTTCAAATGTAATGAAAAAAATTTATGTACAGTATCTATAAATACACTTTAATAAATGAATACTTTATGTTTTACATCGTCCTGTGCTACCATACCATGGATTTGGCTACTTTGGGCTTGCTATGATGACGCAAGAGATCTGCCCTGGCAACTGTACCGACACTCACAGCTGGTGGTGCGTTGGTGCATCGTTTCCATTGTTTACTGGTAGTTACTGGTAAATATTTTTCAACCTAACGAAACTATTACCCGTTTAGAGGTCGACCCCCAATTTTTTGCCAAATAATTTGGTCTTAAAAACTTGAACTACACACAGGTATATACGGTAAATAAGGACATGGGGGGGGCCAGGTTTGTTTTTGGGGGGGGGGGGCAGCACATATACGCGGATTTTTAACATCCACGGGTATCTCTGTTACGTAACCCCCGCGTATGTTAAGGGCCGACTGTACTTACATGCTCAGTGTGCATTATTATATACCTCACTGAATTATGTGTATTTAAGTGGTTACAATGAACTTTACTAATGCTTTTGTCTTCTATAATGTAATATTATAGTATTCATTTCATATAAATATATAAGCATATTTCCTAATTCTAGAAATCATAAGCATTATTTTCTTATTAATATATTATGTTCATATAGATCTAACTAATTTGGATTCAACGTGTTTCATAATCACGTTATATGTAGGTTCCTGGATCTCAGTGCATTTTTTCAACAATTATGTTTATTATTTTCAAAAAGGCCATATTGCTTTTATTTTTGGAAAATTCTTTTCAGTAACAGAATACAGCTCCTCCCCGACTTACGACCCACTCGACTTACGACCACCCGCACTTACGACCTGCCTCAGTCGTACCCAAATTTTGTCAAATTACGTATTCGAGTCACAACGTCAGTACAGAGAAAATTTTCTTTTGTAATTCACTTTAAAATGGCTGGCAAGCTTAAAAGTAAGAGTTTTGTGGTGCTGAGAAGAAAAAGGGACACCCATTTTAGATTTTCTATGTATTGTTTAAGCATTTTTTACTTACGACTATTTCGACTTACAACCTGGATTTGAGTCCCTAACCCCGTCGTAAGTCGGGGAGGAGCTGTAGTTGAAAGAAATTTGATTAAATTTCATTATTATATACAAATTCAATAAATGATAAGTTTTTCAATCAAGTGTACAATAACATTTCATGAATATAATCGAGCCAAATTATATCCACAGTAAAAAAAAATAAAATATACTGTATGGTAATTTTCATATACTGTACTGTATACAGTATTACATATATATGAGATAGTAGCTTTAAACATACTACATAGAAAAAGACTTGCATTATTGTATAAAAGAATGAAATGTGAATAATTGGGTAAAAAAAAATTATTATAATAAAAAAATCGACTATTTTGATATATATTTTTTAAATTGGATTTTTTTCTGACCCTACCTCTATCTCCCCTTTTAGCTGCCTTTTACAATACACAAGGTATACATGGAACCTTTCCTTAAAGCCAAATGCCTAGACCAGTGTGATATTTTCTTTTAAAAATGCAAGGAAAGGACTCTTCAAAATTAAACTTACCGGCCTTTCATTGGGGTCATGGAAAAATATCTTGATTACAATTTCAAATTCTCCCCAACCTGTTTCAGTTACTTCATAGGGTGGCTTTGTTAGTACTCGATTCTGGTTAGCATAACTCTCATGTAACTTGAAGTGGATCTGAAATAGATATTCAGAGTTATTTATGAGGACAATAAGTAGAAGGAGACAAGGAGAAATAATGTTAGTTTGAATGGAGTGCTGTTGTGTGACCTGTGAATAACCAAGACTATACAAGCAGAACCAACAAATATTGAAGGCCCTGTATTGTAATGATAATACAAAAGTTCTTATGAGTGCTGTTACATCAAAATCAAAATGAGAAAAAAATATAGAAAACAAAAGGAGTACTGTACTGTATGTATTCAATACAGTATGTGATTGTTGTGATGGATGCAAAAAGTAGAAATGTGGCATATAATTAATATAAAGAGGGATATCTGCAGACAGTGACATAATTCAAAATATCCAATAAGATCTGTACTGAATGATAAGCAGGTTGGTGAACAAACCTTCCTTATTTAGTATTAAAAAACAAATATCTAGTTAATGTCCATCACTTTAACATACATGTACTGTACAGTACTGTCAATCCTCACATGGGTGATGACCAGGCCTAGATAACAGTAAAAATAGAAGAAACATTCAAATTAATATCTTAAATCACCTTCTTAACATATGTAGACATGTCCTCATTGTTATATGGTTTAACATACACTGTCCATTCATGAGTGTGTCCGTCTTCCTCCCTCTTCTTACCAAAGTATCTTGCCACATTCCCGTACACCAGAGGCTTCACAATTGTTAAACCCTGCAAGATTAATATTATCATGAATCTAGCAAAATTCTAGAACTACTAAAAATAAAATAATTTCCCTAATTTCAAAACTAAGCATTTGATGACTGACGCTGAACTAAACAACATACAGTACTGGTACCGTATGTTAAAGTCTCCAGAATCAATCATATGATGTACAGGATCCTTAAAATGTCATGCTTTATTATGAATTCTATAACTTACTGATAAAAAGTTAGTGAAATATGGAGGATTGATTCTGAAATCTTGTTTCATTACTGATTTAATAGTAAGCAACTCTGTATAGTCACCAAGTAGTAACATCCTAACTTGTGACTGGGACCCACAAACCAAATAAATCTGATGATTACATTAACATTTATCTGTACTTTCATACTGGGTCATTGAAGAATATGTATTGCATAAAAAAGCAAACTAAAAAAGGACAAAGGCTTAGCAGCATTGTTATAAGCATACTGTGAGATGCTTCAATCCCTTCACTTACTGATTTTGGTTAAATAACACAAAACCTTTATAAATAACCCCTAGTCCTTGCTTTATCCTGATTCAATTATGAAAATGAACTTCAGCATTTATAATCTAAAGGAAGATTTGAGTGACTATACTGGACCCAAAAACACCTAGAAAGGAAAGACATAGTACACAAAGGCTCCTAGTGCTATGCTTATATAGACCCCTAATGGAAACAATCCTATTAAACTGATCTAAAGTTTGAATCTAAAGTAAGAAAAAAAGGAAATAACATTGAGCTCCCCTTTAGCCATGAAATTCTGAGGCGATGATTGCAGCAAATGCTTTAAAAATGTTGTCAGCGATGTCTTTGCTGAGTCTTGACTCAATAAGCTGTCACCGTGAGCCCATGAATAAGTGATCATAAAATAAGCAGGGGTAGAAATTTGCCGTTTTTTTCAGGTAGCCAGCCGGGCTAATAGAACCGAAAAGTTACAAGCCCTTCCCAAAGTTTATTAGCCCTTCCAAATTTTACAAGACATAACAAAAAATAACATTCAAATTTCAATACAGTTGTACCCCACTTAACGCGGTCAATAAAACCCAGAGGGTACCGTGTTAAGTGAAAACCGCATTAAGTGAACAACAGAACATATGGGATTAATTCCAATAGAAACCGGCCCGACCCCCAAACTCCACTTTTTGACGACACATAACTATGTTGTAGTAAAATTAACATCTTAATTTTATGATGGTATATGCACACAATTAATACTTAAGAGAAATACAGTCGCCAAGTTAATGTCCATTCAAATAATGGACTCAACTCCCTCCCCCTCTTCTCACACTACACTGCTGGCTCTTCCCTCTCTGAGAAATTTTTGGGGGAAAACCACTAAATTTTAATAAATAATACCTCAAACTAAAGTTAGGATAATACAATTGACATTGCTGGATTCCTTGTAAGACCAGGAATATTTTGAATATAAATGTCATATATTTTGCACAAAAGAGAACATATTTACTCAGAGTAAACATTTTATCTAAAATTTGTATGTCTAATGCAAAATATATGATGTTTATATTCAAAATGATCATCATATTGTAAGAATTCCAGCAATGTAAATTATATTCTGGCCGGGTAATTTGTATGAATTTTATGAGCTAAAACAGGCAGTCAGGCAGGGTGGCGGGTGGGGCAAATCTAAAAATAGCATCTCCAGCCGGACACTCACCGCGTATATGTGGAAAAAACCCGCGTTAAGTGAAAGTTCAGCTCTGGCGAGGCACCGCGTATACGGTAAAACGCGCTAAGTGAAACCGCGTTAGGCGGGGTAATACTGTAGTTGACATTTACTGGGTAGGCCCACATAGAAAGTTGTTGACTTTGACACTTCAAGTAACTTAATAGCAAAAGGTAAATTATATACAAATTGCAAATAATATGGATATCTGTTTCCTTCTTTACTTTATCATTAACTGAAATTTAAATTTTTTTTTTAGATCCTCTTAAAAAACTAATTTACTGTATAAATGTGTAACTGCAAGTAACTGAGGGCTTTCTTCTTCACTGGATTTCGTCAATACGTTTCTGTTTAAGCTCCTTGTCCAATTTTTCGATATCATCCAGCACTTCCTCTGTGCTGCAGCCATCTGTGTTGTTATACCCAACATCACGGCAGGCCCCAGCTGTTAAAAATCTGTTGATGGCTTGCTCTGGATTGAAGTTCCTAACACATGCAGACTGCAACTGGACCACTAGGAGATCTGTCATGTGGTCATTGGTGAGACGACTTCGCCAGAGTGTCTTGATGAGCTTGACCTGACTGAAGCCACATTCAGCATCAGCAGAACTGGTTGGAATGGACAGCAGAAGATCAAGTAAATGGAGAAAGGAGTCACACTTTTTTCTATATGATTCATTTATTTGCTGCCAGAACAGTTTTGAAACACTTGATATTTTACTCATTTTGTAGAGATAGCACTACATACCACTATGAGCAAAGGCTTTAGCCTCTGCAGCAGTACCATATAGCAGTCAGTCAAACTCCGCATACCATGACATCTGGAATGACCTAGATCGTGCTGATTGTTCATAATGACGCTGCTGCTCTAGCTTCTTTTTTTTTTCACTTGGTGGTGGATTAACATTCTTCCACATATCAAACAATCCCCTTTGGCGACTCATGATGATTAATAATAATGTCTGTGTTAGTTAGACATTACGTCAATACTGTACGGAGGTAGCGGGCAGAGCAAGCTAGGCATTGGGTTGGGTTTTTCATTAACCAAATCGAGAGTGGGAAGAAGGGTTGTGAAACATCAATTGCGACTTAACTAATTTATTCCGTATAAAACATATTGCATCCAGTTACAATACAAAAAGAGTTGGCCTTCATCAGAAGAACCAGTCTTATGTTCATTACACTTCACATCAGTATTCATCCTTCATCAAATAACTACTACTGTATTATCATCTTCATTCTTCATAACAACTAATGACCTCCTTACCTCAGTCATTCCTTCTTCCCATAACACCCACCACATCAGACTGCACCACCAGTTAGAGTATAGCACCACATCTCAGGTACACTCCACACCTACAAGTATGGAACTCCACGGTATTCTTAGGTACACATACCAGGTACCTCGTTCACACTCTACACTTGCTAAGTAGATGGGATACTTCCCAGGTAATCATACCAGTACTGGTTTCACGTCTGGTATTCTTAGGTCGCTCCACGTGGCGACCGCGAAACTTCTCAAACGCACAATTATGTTCTCCTATCCTGGGTGGTGATATGTAGGGTATCCATAGATTCACAGTGGAGGTGTATAATGGCCATAAGCAGACACACCACACCCGATGAGTTCCTCACAGTGGTGGATGGTGGTGGCTTGGCCGACGCTCTGGGAGCGTGCGTACCTGTTTTGGTGAAGAGCCGGGCGTCACTAAGAGTAATGCCTGATGGGCTTTTATCACCACTCATTAATCCAAATATTACTTCACTTTATAACATTAGGCAAGGTTTTAAGATGTAAAAAACTGCTAGATAAGTCATTTTAGGGCTGAATGGATCACGATGGAGTTCACTGACCTGTTTTGGTGAAGAGCCAGGCGTCACTAAAGGCGATGCCTCGCGTCTCTCACTGAACTAGGCCTACAGTTTCCAATCTTTAATTTTCACTTTGATATTATTCTGGTTCTCACATATATACTTTCCTATCTATTGTGACCTCATGCCTTTTAATTATATCTCTCAATCCTAAATTACATACTAAAGCAAGGGTCTGGTTTGCTAGTTCCTGGGGAAATTCCTTGGGTTATAACAACACTCGGCACTGTAGCCCTGTGCTCAAGCACAGTGATGTTTTTATTGGCTGAAAACTGCTTCACAGAAAAAGCATTGTGGGCTGGCGTGTTGGTCACCTGACAGCATTTTTTGTACCACTTTTGCACAAACCTTTGTCATGTTCAATTCTTCCGTTAGAATGTGTCTAACACTTTCCCTGTCTAAATTAACTTTCTCAGCTATTGCTCGAATAGCCCAACCTACGTTTTTTTTTTCAAATCACATCTCGCACTTTTTCAATGTCGTCATCGTATCTGCTGTGCGTGGACGGCCTGGGCGGTCATCATCTTTCACGATTTCTCTGCCTTCCGAAAATCGTTTGTGCCATTCAAAAACACGTGCACGAGACATGCAACCTTCACCGTAAGCCTCGATCAATAATTGAAAAGTTTCCGTCGTGGATTTCTCAAGTTTAATGAGAAACTTGATGTTAACTCGTTGCTCAGTTTTGCAGTCCGACATTTTCCAACCGAGCGTAAGAACACGTCTATACTTCAACATGCATCCACTTGTACCGAGTGAAGCGATCGAGTTGAGCCTTGTCACACTGTGACGGGTTAGAACGTGTTCAATAACCGTCTGTTTGTCCCTCCCCTCCCGCTCTTGGTTCCCGAGTTATAGGGTCAGTCTCATTATTTTTTTGTGTAAAACCTCATACAGTCTATTCAACCTCTGTCAGTACAGTTCAATAGAGATGTCAATACAGTACAGGATTCTTCTATCACATATCACAATACAGTACTGTAGTTAGATACCAGTAGTTAAAGATTATGTCTCTTTCAGTGACAGAAAATCTTTGGAACATGTCTTAAATAATGTATGAGTCATAAAAAAATGACCAAAAATTTATTGGTACTAATATAGTATGCGGTCTACCGAGCTGGAGTTGGTCTACCAGGACATTTACACTGTAGCGTCTATTAACCCAACCCAACCTAACCTAACCTAACCTATCTTAACCTAATCTAGGTTAAGTCAGGTTAGGTAACACAGTGTAAATATCCAAGTAGACACAACTTCAGCTCAGCAGACCTCATATTACTGTATAGTAGTACCAGTTTATTTCTCCTAATAAAACATTCAAATCTACCTTTATTCTTCCCCCACTGTCTGGCCCAAAGTCAGCAGGTGGGTTCACTTTTTGTTGCTGTTGCTGTTGTTGTTGTTGCTGTTGTTGTTGTTGTTGCTGTTGCTGCTGCTGCTGCTGCTGCTGCTGCTGCTGCTGCTGTTGTTGTTGTTGTTGTTGTTGCTGTTGTTGTTGCTGATGTTGTTGTATCTGTGCCTGGGCCATTATGTATGTCTTTACATCTGCAAAATTAATTAATGAAAATTTTGTCCTGTAGAACCAAAACAGAAGCTTACTGACATAACAGGAACGCTTTAACAGTTGATTACGTGACAATATTCATTGAGTGATCCAAACAATATTCATGTATGATTATTTTTATGCAGGTATTTAAAATGGTTACATGTAAACAACAAATTCGAAATCTTCCTCATTAAGTAACTTGCAAATTAATACAACAAAGACATCCTTTATATTGCAGCAAGAGAGTTAGGTTTACTTCCTTTCATCCCTGAGATACTATATAGTACAGTACGGTACATTAAATCAAATCAAACACAACCTGACCTGAAATTATTCTACTGGTTCATTATAAAGAAATAGTAAGGTCACCATTATATGAGGTTATTAGTCTAGGTTGACATAAAATTCAGTGTTTTGCTTCTTCCAAAGTTCCAGCAAATGTGTGTGCTTTAGGAGCTGTTCCCTAACTCCTGTAAATGAAAATAAACCATCAACGAACTGTGCTTCATTTTAGTAAAAACAAACTGCCGAGAACACGAAAACTTAAGTACAGTATTGTACTAGCTACTATTATACTACAGTAAGTACTCACTTAACATCGGGGTTACGTTCCTAAAAATACGACTTTATACGAAACAACCTTAATCGGATCAATTTTTCCCATAAGAAATAGATAAAATGTGGGAATTATGTTCCTGAGCCTCCCTTTGCCCCATAAAATACATTACATGTACAAAAAATCATTGCTATTTCTATAGAAAATAGGGAATACTAAGTTTGTATATAGGTACTCACCGATGGGCAGAGGTGATAGAGCGAGTGTGTGGTGGGTAGTGAAGCAGAGAAGGCGGATGGCGGGAGGGGAGGAGTATGGCGGGAGTGGAGGAGGAAGGTGGGAGCGGAGGAGGGCAAGAGAGGAGGAGGTTGGTGAGTCACTGAGACTCTGCGCCAAGCCGAGAGAGAGTAGCGGGGCCAGACGAGAGAGGGTGATGCGCTGTAGAAAGTAGTCCGTGACGACGCAAAACGACGTATAGTATCGGATCACCGGGACGTTAAAAAAATTTTTGGTCTCTAAAGTTTAGCGATGTAGTACCGAAACAATGTTAAGCGGGACGACATTAAGCATGGACTTACTGACTTACTGTATAGGCATTTATTGTAAGGCGTTTTAAGATGCATGTAATAGCTAACGTGTTAGCTTTCCCAGACTGTCATTAAAAAATACGACATTGTACCGCGTCTTTGGAATAATTGTTGTACAACACAGTCTTCAAAAAACAGTAAAATTTGGAGAACTGTTATTTAGGCATAATATTGTACAGAAAGAAATAGTGAAGAAAATATATTAAAAATTATGGAAAGAAAGACAAAAAAGGGAAAAAAGTCAATTAGTTAACAATAAATAAGAATAAAAGAAAATCTGGCTCGTTGCAAAGGAAATTTCTCCTGGACTTGAACCACACGACTAGAGCAGCAGTACGTTTCTTCTCTCGCGGCTAGGTGTTCGCATATTTTGACATGATATACAAAGAATTTCAGGCTCGTTTAAGTCTTAATTTTTGAACTTACAGAACTGTAATCAACTTGTTCATCCTTATTTAAAGTATCTTATGAGTAATGATATTAAAGTTTTAATGATATTTTAGTAATTATTAATATTGCTACACCAAAGTCACTAATGGCTAATGAAATCGGACAGCACCCAAAACTGGTTTCAACTAGGCGCAACCCTTTCACGCCATACACTTTGTTTTAGGTCCTATCCAATGTACTACCGTATACAGGTAGTCCCCGACTTACAACTGCCTCAACTTACGTCCATCGGTACTTACGACCTGCTCTGACCTTACGACCGTCGGGACATACGACCGCCGCAGTCGTGACCAAAAATTTATTTTTTTCCAAATGACGTGCGCATTTTCTATACCGAAACGTTTCCAGTTAATGTAGTCTCCATGTATCATTAGAAAACTATGGGGGCCCTGTGTGCATTCAGCTGACTACTGTACATTAAAGGTAAGTGCTCAGTCACACTGTATCCATTCCTCATTATTTATTACTTTTACTGTACTGTATTTCATTGTAGATTTTTTTTTTGAAAAACAAAACAAAAACAAAACAAAACATTTTTTGAATTTGTTTTTGAATTTTTTTTATCTATGTCGGACTTACGACCATTCGGACTTACGACCTGGATTTGGGTCCCTAATCCCGCCATAAGTCGGGGAGCACCTGTATAGAATTATTTTTATTATTACTGTATATCACAGTTTTTTATTGCCTTACATGCCCCCAACTCTTCAATATTAACCCTTAAGCCCTGGGTTAGGGTGCTGCTGGCAGTAACCCACCCCCCCCCCCTCAAGGGGGATAAATCGAGAAAATAAAAAAATCTTAAAAAAAATAATACTGTAATTAAAAAAAACAAAAAAAGTGGGAAAATAGATGCACGTTCTGGAATGTCACCCGGAGCGCGCTAGTCGGACGTTCTGGAACGTCGCCCGAGCGCGCTAGTCGGACGTTCTGGAACGTCACCCGGAGCGCGCTAGTCGGACGTTCTGGAACGTTACCCGGGGCCAAAGGGTTAATCAAGATATTCTCCATAAGCGGCCATGATCCACGTATTTTCAGTGGGAGAAATCGCTGATTGGTTGTTAGCTATTTGGGCCGCTTGGACGCGGGACAAGGCTAACGCCTCATCGAGGTGTTAGCGTTTCCCTCTGAAAGTGTCATGCGCACAACTCAAAAGCAGCGTCTGCGCATGCAGAACAGCTAACGCTTTAGTTATTCCGTGCATCAAATACGCCTTACAATAAATGCCTCATATGATCTGCATGTTATTGGAATCTGGCCAATTCCAGAATTGTCCAAGGCATTTGGGGAATTCCTATAATGTGCATCATTTTAGGAATTCCTATAATATGCACCATTTTAGGAATTCCCATTATGGCCAGAGTGATTCTGGAATTGCCCTGTGAGCATTATGAAAATCATATCTGTTTTGAGAATCCTACCATATATTCCCATTATGGGTGCCAGTCTAGCACAATACAATTCCAGAATTAGCTCAGTGGTTTGTTTCTGCTAAAATCAGACATACCTAACAGTTCAATGATGGTTTAGTTTAAATTAATGCAACCAAAGAGAGGTTCTTGTAACACCTGTAATTGCAACTGTCAAAGAAGGGCTTACATCAGAGGAAAAACAACACATTGAATTTTTAGAAGCTTCTATTTTGTATTCATAGTCTTTTGAGGTAAAAGAAACATTTCTCTCACCAATGAAAGTTAAATACTGTATTGCTATTTAGGGGCAATCTTTGGTAATTAATGATGACATACTTGTTGCTGAGTTTTCATAGAAATTTAATTTAAAAATGCTGCAATTTCACTGTGTTTTGCAGTGAAAACTGTTGTAATTTGGGGAATATGTAAAAAAAAAAAAATAAAATAAAATACTCCCCCTAAATTAAACCTAACCTTTGCCGATAAGAAACACAAGCGGCTGAAGCGTTGTTTGAAGACCGCACCAACCTAACCAAAAAACCCACTTAACCTTAGGTAACTTCCTAGCCAGGGGGCTATGCCCTCCAGCATATGAAACAGAAAGAACATGCTGTACTTTGATATGGTGTAATTTTACTTTTTTTGTGGATGTGAGAGAAACCACTTGACAGATATAACACTGAAGCAAACAATAAGTGGAAGACAACAGCAAGCGTGGATAGGGCCGCCATACCGTTTTATCGCTGCAAAAGACGAGAAGTGTCGCTAGTGCAAGCCTAGGGGCCTAATTATCTACCGAACTAAGCATTTGTCCAAGAAATGAATCCATCAAAACAAATTATGCTGCTGAGGATAAGTCGCCAGTTTTAATCCAACCTCTTCATATACTGTACTATTACTCCAGGAAATGGTCACTTCTGAGAACAGCACTATCACCAGAGGGAGATGTTTGATTTCATTAATTTTTTCCACGGTTGTTCTTATCACTACAGTATAGTAAATATTTTAGAGTAGGGAACAACTTTTTATTTTAATTATGAGTACAGGTGCTATTTTAATTTTTTTTTACTTTTCTCAAGATTATAAATCACCTGTAGTGGGCAGAGCATGAAGGATGAGGGACACTGTGGGGTAAAATAGTGAAAAACTGATCATATGACACTAAAATGATGTCTCTACGTGCTTTGAACGTGAAGAAATTAATTATTTACTGTAAATATGCCTAAAAAAATCTGCAGTCACCATGTGTGTCTATTTACAACTGACCTGCTCGGTCCGAGTGTGCTCCTATGTCCACCAAAAAAAAATATAAATACAATTGCACCATGACGCTTCAAAAAAGTTCCTTTCATTGGTACCAGATATCAAAATAAGTACTCTCTGTTTAATATGGTGGGATCTGGGTGGAAACCCCCCAACTATGAAGTTAGGTAAGGTTAGGTAGGTTTCTTTGATTGGTTAGGTCAGGTTCTATTAGGTTCTAATTCAGTAAATGTCACTTCTTTTAAAATACTGGTAATTATTGACGACTGACCTGCGACAAATTTTTCATAGATAACGATTATAAAAATGCCACAATTTCACTGTGTTTTAAAGTGGATACTGTAGTAGTTTGTGAAAATGTGCTAAAAAGTGGTTATTTCTACTTTAAACCGAACCTAACCTTAGTTGATATGGAAAAAAAGCAGCAGAAGCATTGTTACAAGACCTCACTGACCTAAACAAACACCCCTACCTAGCCTAGCTTCCTAGATGGGGGGAAACTGCTACCCGGACCCCCCGCCCGATATATTAAACAGAAAGAACTTACCGTGATATTGAGTAATTTTACATTTTTGTGGACGTGAAAGCAGCCGCCCATACTGACCGGTTCATAAGCACACATTGAGCATCGGCGTTGATGCGGCCCGTACAGCAGAGTGTTTTGAAATATATTAATATAATTGACTGTTTACATCCTGGGATGAGACGTCACTGCTGCATTACCGCTGAGAAGACAAAGTAGTGCGCACCTAGGCGCCTAATTATCTACCAAACAAAGCATTTGCACACGAGAAATGATTATCATATCAGAACTCACTTTTTAAAATAAAGTAAGAAAATAAACAGCAAAACAAATAACTCGTCCACGGATCATTCATCCATACTTACTATAGTGACAAGAACATTTGGCTATTATTATCACTTCGGGGTCAATTTATAGTAGTGCACTGTTCTTTCTTTGGGTATTAGAAATATGTGTAAAAAAAAAACATAAAAAATTGTCAAAAACCTAACCTAATCAGGGGGGGTCCAGGGGTACAAAGTCCCCTTGATTAGGTTAGGTTAGATAGAACGGTGTACGGGGTCTAATATCAAAAGACCTCGTTTTGGTCATCCGGTGAATTATAGGATTTTAAGTTCCCACTGTCCAAAAGAGGTTTAGGATACGTTAGGTTGGTATAGGTTAGGTTGAAATTGTTTTTTCGATGGTTTTTTATGTGTTTTGAACGATTCTGACCTACTTCCAGATAGGTGGATGACCGAAACGATACTTTTACCTAAATTTAAGGTAATTTTATAGTAGTTTACACAACATCCCTACCCCAAATCTTTTATCATATTCGAAAAAGACGTCTAATTTCAAGCTAATTTTCTTATATTACATGACCGTCGGAAACATATAATAACGGAGATAGCGCCTACCAAGTCTTTCTCTATTTGATTCTATTAATCTTCATCCATTATAACCTACCCTACCCTTCATAAATCGTCATGCGCATGCGTTCCCGTACACGTCACACGGCCAAGTAATGATTTGTGGTTTAATTTGGGGTATTCTTGGCCCAATCAAATTCGGTTTTTATTTTGAGCCTCATATTTTGAAATTCAAATTCACTTCCGACCATGGAAGTCTGCGATGAGTGTCACTTCAATTATATGGAGATGATTGCGAGTTTTTGGGAAAAAAAAGAAAAACTATATAACATCGGGTGTTGTACTTCATCACTTCTTGGAAGAAGCTGCTCGCCTATACCTCCCGTTAAGTGAGAATCAGCGTTAGTAGCCTGTACTAATCTCAGAATCCAACGACGAACGAGAACCAGGCCCATAAGGTAAGAAATAAGTGATTCTATCATATGGTGAGAGTCGGTTAGGTTAGGTCAGGTTTGTTTTTCTAGTGTTTTAGGTGTATTTTGTATTAGCTTCGCCATAATTTTTGTCAGTAAACGCCCCCACAAAAAAAAAACGAAAAAAAAACAGGCCAATTTCCGACGGAAATGAAGGTCATAACCGATCTGAACACACATAAATACACTAGAAAAACATAATTTTCACTTTCGAACAGAGTTGTGTGCATTTCTGCAAATTTACCAATATATCATCAGGTCTAATCTTATATATCAATCTGTAAGTAAAACTATTCATACTCATCTCTGAAAATTTGGACACCTCTCTTCTGCTATCAGATTAACATAAATTTGGGAAAATTTTATCGTATCATTAATTCCAAAATAAGCTGATATGTATGAGTAAATATGTACTGGTAGATATCATTTCTGGTTGAGGAGTCACAAGCTCTGGTGGTGAGTAATAAACTGCAGCTTTACTTACTAACACACAGTAAATGTTTTATACTTAAACCAAAACAAACACACTAAGGGATGGTAAATATAGGAAAATATTAACCTATATTCTCATTGTTGTTTTAGCTGTATATATCATATTTAAAATCATCTAAATATATGCAGAGAAAATATCAATAAAGACTACATGAATTTTATCATTATCAAAACTTCCCTATGAGAAGCCTGTGCAGGGGCGGGTATAAGGGGGGAATGGAGGGGTGGGGGGGGGGTCATGTTTTTTTTTTGTAGGGAAAGGAGGAATGAAGGAAGATTAGAGGTGGGGGGAAGGACGTTATAGTTTGGAAATTTAAGAAATTCAGGAGGAGGTAAGAGAGGGCGGGCTGACCGCCTAGCTAAGCTAATAGTGTGTTTGGGTTGTCATGGGTTAGTTATTGTCTGCCGGCACAGGCACTAGACAGCCTAACCTGTCCCATTTATGTGTGTTTTAAGGGCCTTATTTCATATTCCGCTGACCCTACTGGCGGATGCTGGTCTAGGGAGGTTGTCTATTGCCTGGCCGTGTAGATCGGGGGTGGTAATGGACCTTTTGAGATTTCGTAGCTTTTTGGGAACCATGCATGGTTGTTGTTGTCTGGTGGGAGTCTTTGAAGGAGTTTTTGCTCTGATCGTTCTATCTTTTGCCAAATTCTGCTGGCCAGGGTGTGCAGCTGCTGGTTGATGGGTTTCCTTCTCAGGTCTCTATATGTATCTCGGCTGTGGTTCTGGTGAAGGGGTATCTTTCACCTGTAACGAATCTTAGGGCTTCATTTTGGACCACCTGTAATTTTAATATTTGAGTGATGCTCATAGTATGAAGAGGTATTGCTGGGTAAGTTAATATCGGTGTGATAAATGATGTCACCAGGCGGAGTTTAATTTTCTCAGAAAGCGCTTTAAAGCGGTATAGTTTTCTCAGCTCTCTTCTTGCTTTTTCCTTCCTGCTGTGGACATGATGGGAGTAACCTGTCGTGGATATATGTAGGCCCAGGGGGGTGCCTCTGCTTTTGTATTCTATCTGGGCATTATTGGTTACTAATGGATGGGTTTTCCTTCTGCATAAGGGTATCACTGAATTTCAGGAGACTGGTTTGGATTTTCCATTATTTTTCGTAGTTATTTACCCTTTCTAATTCCCGCTTGGTGTTTTCGGCCTGTAACGCTCGCGATTTTCCTTGATGTGTTGTTATTTGAGTGGTGTCGTCTGCATACATAATATCTTCGTTACCTATTCTAGTGGGAGGCGGGGTGTCACTTGTGTAGATAATATATAGGGTGGGGGAGAGGACGCTCCCCTGAGGTACTCCACTCATGAGTGGGAAGGTCTCTCCTGTGTGTTGTCCTACCCTCAGTCTAGCATTTCTGCCGTCAAGAAAGTTGCAAAGCAACTTTTCAATGTTGGTGGGAAGTCCGAGTTGGAGGATCTTATATTTAAGACCGTCGTGCCACACTTTGTCAAATGCCTTCGCTACATCCCAGAGAGTTGGATTACATTGTCTACCACTCGCCGCGGCTCTGGCTATGGTTTCGCATGCCAGGGCTATCGCTGTTGTGGTGGACTTCCCTTTCCTGAACCCGAATTGTCTGCAGTTGACTCTGTTTGTTGTTTCTAGGTGATTTCTCAGACGTTTATTGATGATTTTTTCTAGGATTTTTCCAGGCACTTCGAGGAGGGAGATCGGTCTGTAGTTTAGTGGGACGGCGGGGTTCTTTCCTTGTTTTGGTGTTAGGGTAATAATGGCCTCTTTGAATTTAGTTGGGAAGTAGCCCGAGGCCAGGCAAGCGTTCATTGTGGTTCTCAGTCTCTCCGTGGCCGGGTTGTTTATGTGGCTGAGGATCTCCTTGGTGATGCCTGAATAACAAGGGGCTTTATTTTTGGTATTAGAGATGGCTCTGTTGAGTTCTTCCAAGGTGATTGGTTTGGACAATGGGCTGTCCGCTCTTAGATCCTCCCATATGATTTCAGGGTTAGGCTGAGTGCGGTGTGTCTGGCCCCGGAGTTCATCAAGGACGAGCTCCTCGTGGGTACCATCGAATCCCCTATTCTCTTCATTTGTGATTCGGAAGATGTTCCTCCTTATGTCCCTGAATGTGGGTTCTTTGTCTTGGTCGTCATATATTTTACTTCCTGTGTGGTCAGTTATATATGATGACTCGTTATGGCTGCAACCTTTCAGTCTCTTAACTCGACGCCAGAGCTCTCCTGGATCGTTGTATGTATGTGAGAGTTGTTCAACTATTTGGGCCCATTTAAGGTTGCTTTGTTCCAGAGATCTTGTTTTTATTTCCTCCCGGATTCTTCTGTATGTATTGTAGCTTACGATGTCCCAACCATGGGTCTCGGCTCTCTGTTGTAGCAGTTGGAACTGGTTTGTGAGGGCTATGAGTTCTGGAGTCTGTTGTGGGTGTGGGAGAGTTCTGTTGCGTTTGAGAGGCGTGGCCTCCTGGTAGGCTGTTCCTATGGCTTCACACCATGTGTTGATTTCTTCGTCTATTATGTTCACCGACTGACTGTCTATGGTCTGCAGGATTGTCATGCCCTTGACCTCAAGTTCGGCTGTAGCTTTTTCGTTGAATAAGTCCCAGTCGGTCTGCTTGGCGATTCTCCGTGGTGGAGCTGGTATAGTTATTGGTGTTGCTGAGATGGTCATGATTATAGGTAGGTGGTCGCTGGAGGTTACAGGGCCTTGTTCAGAGATAGTTGTGGAAGCATCTGCCGTTTGTTATTGCTATATCTGGAGTAGTGGCTGAGTTCCTACTGTAGAACGTGGGGAAGTCTGGGCCTATTAGCTGGGCTTTTTTGTTTGTTATGAAGTCAGCGAGGCCTCTTCCAACATTGTTAGTTGTCCTCTTACCATCTAGTAGAGGATGTCTGGCGTTCATGTCTCCAATGATGTAGGTTGGGTGGTGGTATGATAGGAGTCTGTGGAAGTCCCCGTAAGGCAGGTAGTCCCTGCGTGGTGAGAGGTAGGTTGTGGCTATTATGATTGGCCCTGTGGTCAAGTTGATTTGAACAGCGAGAGTTTCAGAGGTGAAGTCGTCTGATTCTGTGGTGGACATCTCTTTTTACGGCGATGGCCACCCCGTCATTTGGCTCCTCTGATAGACTGGATTTATGGATCGTGTAACCAAATATTTTCAGTTCCTCAGCTGCCTTTTGGCCGTGTGAGTTTATGAGTATAATATCTGCTTCGACTTGGTTGTATTGGCTGGACATACTGAATTTATTAGTTCTCCAGTGGAGGACGTTATCTTGCATTATTCATGGGTCGGGCTCCCTCTTGTCATCAGAAAATTCCAATACTTTTCTTTAATGCAATATTGTACCCAGACGTTTTTGTACAGTATTATTCACCTCAGAATATCTCCTTATATCAAGTAAATATGGCTTCATAATGGCCCAAAATGCCCTTGATATAGGTGAGATTTCAAAAAATATTCTGGGGTAGCTTAGACCCCCCCCCCCCCAACCAGCTGGACAGGCTGCTGTGCTCGCCATGTTTCCCCACCCACAGAGGGGCGGATCCATTGGGGGTCTAGGGGTCCAGACCCCCCTTTTCATCAGAAAATACTAATACTTTTTCTTTAATACAGTATTGAGCTCAGGGTTTTTTGTACATTAAAATGTAATTACTAATTACTATTGAACTTAGAATATTTCCTAATATCAAGTGCACATTGTACTGACCACGGTCGGACATGTTAACGTAAAATCAAACGATTCATATTACACACAATAACCCATAAAACGTGTAGCTATAACTTCTTTACTGAGCTCCCCAGTTGAGACGTAGTCACTCATAAAAGTTCGTGGGGGTTTCCGTGTGTGTGGGTGAATCCCATCCCCACCCCTTTCTGGACGACAGGATAAGAACTGATTGACATACTCCTGTCTAACCTGATTACATAAAAGACACAATTCTGCCGTGTGTGTGCCAGTGTGCGTTGTCACATCGCTATACACAGACTCGCCATCCAGAAAGAGGTGGGGACTGGACTGACGCACACACACACGGACCCTCACAAACTTTTATGAGTGCATTCTCTCCCCACTTCATGGTGGCTGAGGCCTCCATTTTCTCTCAATCATGTACCTCAGAGACTGATATTTCTTAATACCTCATATCGTGTTCAGAGATTTGAAATTGAGAGAGAAAACTCAATTGTTTTGCGTCAAATTAGATATGTCTGATTACAGATGAAACAGACCAAACTTGACTAACAATGGAGCAGGTTCAGATACATCCAAGAGCCAATGCATGCCCAGTACTTGCCAACAGTGTGTAACAGAGACGTGACCGATTGCCCAAGCGGTTAACGAGCCGATCATTGGCAAAGAGGATAAAAGTAAATTAACAAGATTTTTTTTGTATAATATATATACTTCATAGTTATATGAGGTGAAAACCAAATAAGAAAAATTAGGATTTAAAATTTTGGGAGGAGAATGGAAGCCTTTCTTGGGAATTTCTTTTACACTATAACAACATCCAAAGAGTTAAGATAAATATACAAATTAAGAATAAATCACTTTATTTAAAAAAAAATAATACACATTATAATGCAATTCTATGGATAGATGTCCACATGCTCCATGGAAGATTAACTTTCTTTTAAGGCTTGGAGCACATTATTAAACCCCATTTTTAACTGAGTAAGAATTAAGCATTATTAAGTAATAAGACAGTGGATAATTTTTAGAAGGCAAAAAATGATGAACCAGAGAAAGCACAGGAGAATAATGTAATAAACAAGTGGTTGGTTAGGGAGTTATGGAAGTCAACACACTTATATAGCAATACAATTATAAGTTGTATATAACTTATGAGCTTGGGATAAGTAGCTTTTATAGTATTATGTACTTACACCAATTTATCACTGTTTTATGATATATTAACAGTGTTCACAGGAGATTATAAGACACTATATAAGGTATTTAACTTATGACTTACCATGATAGGACTAAAGAAAGAAAAAACTATCACTATACACCAACTTCCAGCTATCAATATTATCACTTGTGCTTTTCAAACATCTACAACAATAAATTTACTCCCACAAAATTACCTGTGTACTGTACTTCATCAACTGGCCATAATTACACCTGTAAGTGTTGAAACCTGATAGCAATACTCAGTGAGAATTGTGAACTCTTGGAACAACCTGCCAGAGTGTGTTGTGACAGCACCGAGTGCGAGCTGTTTCAAGACCAGACTTGACCAACACTGGAGCAGGTTCAGATACATTCAAGAGCCAGTTCATGCCCAGTAATTGCCAACAGTGCATATTAGAAATGTGACCGACTGCCCAAGCAGCTAATGAGCCGATCAGTGGCGGAGAGGATAAAAGTAAAAGTAACATCTGCTTATTTAATGATAACATTTATGGTCTTAATCCCATACCATATGTGCACAATTCATAACATACTCTCAGCCATCCTCCACAAACCACCTAATTAATTTTAGTGAAGCATCAAGGACAACTCCATATTTTATTAATCTAAGTACAGTACTATAAATGTTTAATTAAAATAAAATACTGCTCTTGTGTTCAACAAAATATAATTATTTTCTTAAGAAAGAAAAAGAAAAGAAGAAACAATTTCTTAATAGCAACACCATATTGCAATACTATACCTAAAACTCCTTGCAGATATACAGTAGTCTATCCTCCAGCAGCAGCTGGTAATATTGAAATAAGGTTAATGACTGTTAGGACATGTACTGCAAAATGTAAGATATGGAATAAAAAGAAAGAGAATACTGTATACTGAATTTTTTTTTAAATTTTGAGGCAATTACAATATATACAGTACAGCAAACTAGATAAGAGAATTTTTTGTTCTCCAAATAACTGGAGCAAATTCTTCATCACTGGAATCTTCACTGTCATCTGAATCTAATTTTGGATTCCCTCTTTCCTTAAGCTGTGTAGTCTTCTTCTTATCCAGTTCTACAACTCTGGAAATAAATAAAAGGCAATTATCAATATTCATGATAACCTAACTACTGAACTACGGGGATATCACTGTATTCAAATATTTGTCCATAACCTGGGTAATTGTAATGCAGTTTACTTTAATAAACAGAGCTTGAAATGATATACAGTAGGGTCGAGATATATCGCGACATAGGGTCCAACGATGTTCGCTATACAGTACCATATACTAAATCGCGATATATAATTACATGTAATCAATGGGGAAAATAGGGTTAGGTTCCGGAGGCCTCAAAAAGTGACTAACTAAAGCACCAATGAATACTAGACTCGGGAACAACAGGCTATTTCAATATCAATCTCAATATCAAGGAACACCAGACTCTGCAGCTGACGCACCATCCTGGGAACACCAAACTCGGCAGCAGATGCCACACTGCCACCCTCACTTGACAATCCCACACCTACATAAACGAACACCAAAAATATGAGTTACAATATTAAATCTTTTCCATTAAAGGTTTCCATTTTTCTTCACTTCACTAGCAACCCACTTACAGTCACTTTAAAATTGGAATCTGCACCAGACTTGGCAGCTGATGCGTCATCTCGAGAACAACAGACGACAAACTGCCACCCTCACTTAACAATCATAAACGAACAAACCAAAAATATTAGTTACAGTATTAAATCTTTTCCATTAAGCTTTCCATTCTCTTAACTTCACTTTTCACGTCACTAGCAGCCCATTTACACTCACCTTAGAAGTCGTAATCTGCAGCAGTCGGCTGCTTTCTCGTCGCTCGCTCAGAAAGTCTAAGCGGGCGAGCGTGAATGAGGGAGTGAGTGAGCAGCCACGGTGGCGCCTCTGGTGAGCAAATAACGCATTTGTTTTCCATGGCAGTACATTTGAAATATTTCCTGCCCGATTTCCCTCGCAAAAAAAAAAAAAATTATCGTCATACAGCCACTCCTCGACTTACGCCGGGTTAGGGACCCAAATCCAGGTCGTAAGTCGAAAATGCGAAGATAATACACAGAAGATCTAAAATGGGTGTCTCTTTTTTTTCTCAGCACCACAAAACTCTCACTTTTAAGCATGCCAGCCATTTTAAAGGGAATTACAAACGAAAATTTTGTCAGTACACAGCGCAATCACCAACGTCGGGACTCGAAAATACGTAATTTGAAAAAAATTTGGTACGACTGGGGCGGTCGTATGTCTGGGTGGTCGTAAGTCGAGGAGTAGCTGTATAGTATAGGAAAATGTCGATAATTTTGATAGCTGTGAAAAAAAAAAATAAATAAATCGTTATATAAAGTTGCGATATATCCCGACCCTGTATCTTATAATTAAATTTTAAGATATATGTAGCTGACAGTGTTCTTTCCTTTTTAATGTCAGGTCTACCTGAAGCTTTTTGCAGAGCTTAAAAAAAATATTTTTTTTTTGGGGGAGGGGGGGGGGATAAGTATTTGTGAATGTTAAGACTTGAAAACTGTGGACATTACAAAACGTTTTCCTCCGGCATGTTCTTAACATAATCACTTAAAAAATTATAGAACATGAAAGACTAAGTACTGTACATATCTATAGTATAAACTACAGCTTTTCATAATTTCTTTTACCGTTCTAAGCAAGCAATCTGCTCATTGGCTTGTTCAATCTGAGTTGTCAAGGCTGCTTCTTCTTTATCTTCTTCAATGATCATGCGACTTTCTTGCTCAGCGGCAGAAACTTCTCGCATGAATGACATCCACTCTTCGGCATCCTTATCTTTGTATTCCACTTTGCGGGCCTGAAATAAGCAAATGCATTACTATAAAATGATCTATTACAGGTACAGTACCTGTATAAACAATGAAAGTTATGCTCTCCATCAACAGGTATCTTCTTAATGTACTGTACTTACAAATCAAGACTTCTACAGTACCAAAACTTACAAATTTTTTATGCCTAGCTACAAATGCAGAAGGTATATTAAAATGCACATGTCCATGCATACATCCATGCATGTGTTGCACTTAAATTTGTTAGCAGGATTATTCAAGAAGTACCAGGGGGTAAAACTCCTTGTTTTTTAAAGAAAGTAATAGGGGAAGACAATAATATATTTTGGTAACCAATATTTCTGATGAAGCAAGCATTAGAAATTGTGGATGAAAAGGCTACTAATTCACTGATGCTAAATAGTATATTTGTTTAAATAATGAAGAAAATTTTATGTGAGAATCTTGTGGCAGCTGTGGTTGTAGTTGAGTTGCCAATTCATTAATATAATTTTCTTTATTATTTAAGAAAATATACAAAAAATTGGAAACGTCTCATGACCTTAAATAACAATGAATAGTTTATTATTATAAAAATATTACCTTTGGTTTGTTTAATAATTATCCTGACAGTGATACAGCCAAAAACAGATCCACCAATCACAATCACCTTTACATACAGCCTTCCTTTACCAAGGATTGTCAGGTAAAATTGCAAGCACGAGACCCAGGGTGGGGTCAGTGCATCTTTAGTTGACTGTACCTGTATACATCCGGTGTGAAATTTTCCTGGAATTCCATCATAAACTGCACACTCTTGGGAACTGAAATCCCCTCTCAGAAGCCTTGGGCAAGACCCCCCCCCCATCTGCTGTACATACATGATGATGATGAAGTGTAAGGTAATTTAACTGATTTGCTAGTTAACCATCCACCTGGTCTGGTCGTTGAGCAATGAATTGTAATCTATCTCGGGGAAAGGAGTAACTCTTAAGAATGCAAGGCCACAGTACATAGTCTAAGTGCCCAAAAGTCTCAAGAAACATGTAGCTGATTACAAGTTCAAGGCAGGAGCTGAATGTCTGAGGTGTGCAAGAGGTGACCGGTGCTTTCCTAACAAAATACAGTGGTTCCTTGATTAGTGAACGGTTCAATTAACGAAATAGCTCCCATAAGGATTTTCAGTTCCATTAACAAACAAAACTTCGATTAACGACAGCCTTACGAGAAACATGCTTTGTTATACTCCAGTGGAGTATATATCAAGAAAGTTGTGCTCTTGAATATTTAAGCATTTTTTATATTAAAATTATTGGTCATTCTGAAATTTAGTTAACATATTGATAATATATACAGTATACAGGGAACAGTTTTTGTGTGCCCATCTGCTGATCGAATCACCCACCAACGCTCCTCAGTTTAACTTTGTTTACAGTGGAGTGAACATCAAGTTTGTTGGTTTCTTTATATTTTTGCATTTTTATATTCAAATTATTGGTCATTCTGAAATTTAGTTAACATATTGATAATATACAGTGCAGAAATTATTATGAAACATGAAGAAGGCATTAGAACCAATGCACTCTGTAAAGAATATGGCATGTCATCATCGACTGCCTCTACAATCAGCTGTTTGATATGTAAACAAAGCTGCCGGAAATGCGACATACACACCTCAAAGTAAGTTAAAATACAGTACAGTAAAGCCTCGAATAACGACGGTAATGTGTCCTCCAATATTGCAGTGTAAGGTGAATCATCGTATCATGAATCATTAATTACCATTAAAATAAAGCAATAATAATGAGATGCATTCCCAAGTGTGACCTTTTCATATCTTTTGTGTGGCTTTTTACCTTCCTTTCCCCCCAAAACAATACAATTAATGAAAAGTGCAAACTATATTCTTTAAATAATGTTTATGAATGCACCTTATACAGTACAATATAAATCAATAATAATAAGATCACACAAGAGGAGATGGGACGCTATTGTTGTTGTCGTGTTTACACCCATAATGTCAGTTATCTATCTGAAACAAGAAAATAAGACCCTGGTTGTTGCTATAGTAAAATTAATGTAAAAAATATGTATGTTTTAATTAACATTATTTAATGTACAGTAAAAGTAACATTTAATGTAAAAGTAACCATTGATGTTAAAGAAAAAAGAGAGTGATAGTGGAATGGCAATGTATACTTGCGTCCTCAAGGAAACCACATCATTTATCTTAAGAATATGCACAAAAGAATAATTTTTGTTTATTACTGAATATGTATTTGATCGAATTAATGTTTATGCACTATATGCGAAATGAACATGCAATTCATTAATAATACGTAGAATATTAAAACACACAAGAGGAGACGAGACGCCATTGTTTTCGTTCATGTTTCCAACACCTGTGACGAATGACGATGGTTCTATTTCTACATAAGAAACTGAAGAAATAAGACCCTGGTTGTTGCTGTAATAAAATTAATGTAAAAAAATGAAAAATGTATGTATTAAGTAATGTTATTCAATGTTAATAAATGGAACAATAGAAGTAGCTAACCATTAATGGTAAAGAAAAATACAAAATAGATTGGGACTGCCATCGTATGTAAGTGCGTATATGTGAGAACATCGTCATTTCTCTAGTACATAAGAATATGAAAGCAACACTTATTACTGTTCATATATGTTTAAAATGATAGTTACTAATGTAAAACAAAAATTCTACTCACAAATGGTGGTAAAGTCTAAAACATAAGGAGAGCCAATGAATATTGTGCTAATATTACTCAAATGATTTTGTCAATCAGGTTCAACTCTAGCTGAAGCTTTCCATAAAGATATCATAGCTGTTGCTGAAACTGTTACTGAAGCTGAAGTTGGTGGTTTAGGCCTTTGAATAATAAAGCTGTCGAAAGAAACTTTCACAGCTGCTTTCTTTTCACATTATACATCTTTATGTAGAGGTCATATGTGTTTTTCACGTCCCTGTTAATTTTAATGCTTCGTTCTGTTAATGGAGCCACTTCAGAAAATAATACAGTATTATGTTCATTGCTTACTCCATATAATATCCACATACCTCTCACCTTTTTCATATCGTTTTAACCCATCTAGTTTCTCAGCTAAGCTTATACATTTTCTTTTAGCTTTTGAACCAGCAATACCATCACTTGCTCTCTTGCTCAGGTTGAATAGGGACTCAAAAGTGCCGTAAGAAACCCGAGAAAGTTTATCTCCTGTTACTGTTCAGATGTATGAAAACAGAGGGACCGGCAAGCTCTGACTCTTGTTTACTGGTGATGCGCATTACCACTCATTAGCCCAGCAGCATCCCTTGCCCGGCAGCTTCTTTGCGCAATGCGCTCTTCTTCTTTTTTACAGTATTTTATTTATTTTCTTTTTTTTATAATACAGTGACCCCTCGTTTAACGAACACCTCGGTTAACGTAATTTCGATTAACGAACTGCCTTCCATAAGGATCTTCAATTCGGTTAACGAAAAAAAAATTCGGTTAACGAAGTTCTTACGAACCGACCTCAACATGTTTTCACTTGCACTGACCGGGCAACCAGCTTTAGTATCAGTCCGCCAATACATTAATCGGTTCTAGGGCTTAAATTCCTTACTATTTTAGTAAATATCAAGTTTATACTATTCAATAATTTTAAAAGGTTAATATTCAATTTTTTAGTCATTTTAACAATTTTTGAACATAACTGAAGGTAAAGTGACTAGTTTAATGCGCGGCATCCAGCCTCTTAACACAGCAAACAGGAGTTAGTCTCTCTCTGTTTTCACTGGAGGTAACATCTTGCTTGAGACTCTCTTCAACTAAACTCTTTTTTTCTGTGTTTCCAAGCAAATTATTGGTCATTTTGAAATATATTTTACATATTGACAATATATAATGCAGTGCAGTGTTGATTTAAAGAAAATAATCTTGAATTACACCAAGAGAGCTAAAATTTTATGGGTGAAATGGCGCCATGGGGTGACTTCTCTTCCACCCCAATGCCTTCTCTTTTTCCTTCTCCTCCACCCCCATTCTAAATCCCATCATCATCATCATCATCCAGGAGCCTTCTACATACACACCTCAAAGTAAGTGAACTTTTCTACCATTTTTGTTGAATTTAGGAAATTTTCGGTGAACTGGAACCAATTACCCAAAAACCCATTGAAACAATGGTTTCGGTTAACGAACTTTTCGGTTAACGAACGACCTTCTGGAACGGATTGAGTTCGTTAACGGAGGGGTCACTGTATCGGGATTTAGTTATTATTTATATGAAAATATTATTTTATATTATTTTTATTATATTTTCGTCTTAAATACGAATAAAATAATGATGTAAATTGAATTGGGTCCTAAATTAACCAGGGTCTTAAATATGAATGGTCGTTGGTCGAACTGTCGTTATCGGAGGCTTTACTGTACAGTATTCTATTGTTTTTTATTTATTATTGTACAGTACAGTATACGGTTCAGTACAGTACTGTATTTAGTTTATATTTAATGTTTTGTTAATTCTATTACAGGTATACAGTACTTTGCATGTATACTTTTTCTGTGAGCTGTAACCAATTACCCAATATCCCATTGAAATAATAGATTCAGTCAACGAAATTTTCGGTTAACAACCGACTCTGTGCAACCAATTGTGTTCATTAATCGAGGGACCACTGTACTGTTATAGCTGACGTCAACGAACAAATGAACTAGCTGAATGTCTGGTCTTATACTCATCAGCAAAACTCACAACCTTTTTTCTTTTTTAGGGTTCCTTCCTATAAGTGCTTATCCTTCGACAACCTGGTTCAAATGTCAACAAAAGAATTTTAATTTATTAAATTTCAAGATCCCAGGCACAAGTTAGGACCCTGGTTGGTGACTTTAAAAAGATGATCAATCCCATAAATAAAGTTGTAACTCAACAACACAACTTGAAACTAAACTCAGTTAACAATCGTAAACTGATGATGAATACGTCATTGAAAAAAGTTATGCTCGCAAACTGACGACGATGGTGTTGTAGGTACTCTCGTTGTCTTAATTAATGATTATATAATAGATTAATCATTGAAAAACATAGAAATGTAAAAAAAGCACAAGTTATGACTGAAAATAACAGTGCACAAGTGAGATGTTTGTTAACATATACTTGCAGCTAAGCGACAGCTTGCCACACTAGATTCACCTCATGGTTAAGGAATGGGTGGCAAGCAAGGTACATTAAGTGTTACTGGGTACTGTAATTAAAGAAGCCTAAAAAATTTCATCATCTTGTGCAAGATGTTTTTTGCATCGTTCCACCCAAAAACCTGGTTGGGTTGTATGCAGATGAATAGATAAATGAAAGTCTATACAGGGAGTCCCCAGGTTATGAACGGGTTCCGTTCCGTTCCTTAGGGCTAACTTAAATTGAATTTGTATGTAAGTCGGAACACATGTTATTTGCAAACCGTACTTACAGACCAATGTTTAAAATCCCACTATATCATACCCTAAATCCTTATATACATCTAAAATCACTTAATTTCAGACAAAAGAAGAAATAGAATGACAAAATACTGTAGTCAATGAAAGCAGAAATAAGTCATCAGGAAAACAAAATACAGGTACTGTAAATTTCAAGTTTAACCCCATTTGTATCAGCGGGCATTCGTAAGTCGGGGACCCCTTGTAAGACTCTGTATTTGCAGTGGAGGCCAATCAATTATATAATGCACATTCCAAGCTATTTTCATAACTACAGGTATTTCAAATCATGGTACTGCATGCAATATAAATGTACCTAGGTGTTTTTCCCTGAAAATATTATCAATTATCAGAAAAGCTTCTATACCTTTGCATCAGCCACAGGGTCATCAAAGAATCCCTCAGGTAAAACTTCAGTTGTATTTGGTTTTGGTGGATCTTTGGGCTTGGGTGGCCTTTCTTTGTATATTGATTCCTCTTCTTGAGGTTTTGCAGGAGTTTCTTCTGCATCAAAGAAGCCTTCTGGAACATCTGTAAAAAGATACAGGTTTACTGCTAAATAAAAAAGGTAAACTTATATAAAAGATAAGAGGTTACAAGGTAATCTTGCATTATGCAAACACAGTTCCTTTTGGATTTTTACAGTAAAAGCTTAATAGTTATCCAACACAATGATTTTTCTTTTTTTAATTATCTCTAAATTTAGTTTCTTAATTACTTCTTTTCTTTTTGAGAAATATTAGAAACCACAGATTTTGAATATGGCAGAAACTTACCATTAGAGGTTTCTTTTTCAGTCCCAGCCCCATTCTCTCTCTTTATTTGCATGACTGGAGCAGGCTGGGGTTCCTCTTCATCACTACTGTCATCATCAGAAGAGGATGTGCCGACCTTCTTTAAGATTCCTGCAAAAAGACATTTTGAATTAAAACGTGTTACCAATGCAGTGTATGATTTAAAACGTGGCCGTGTGCAGCAGCATGCAAATAAGTATGAGCACTAAAGTGTAGATTAGCAGGTGATGAGAAAGATACAGGGGCATATGACAAATTCTTTAATTAAGGGCCCAACTTTTACTCCCTAAGGTGGTGAATAAATAAAGTCAATAGAGTATTCACAGCTTGGCATAATGACAAGGAAAACCATACACTGTAGTCCGAAAGAGGAAAAATGGACACACACTTGTTCAGATGAAATAAGCAAGCATACATGTCCACTTCCTTATTTATTTAATGAAGCCTTGAGGAATGAATGTTTCAACCCAGGTCAAACTGAAACCCCAGATTATGGGAGAACCCTTACCAAAATTCTCCTCCATTTCAATGATGAGCAGAATTTCTCATGAAAAAGAAACCACAGTACTCCCATGTAAAAGACTCCCCAACTTTCTTAACCCATTTGCCGACATATCCGATGACAGGTGCGGTATGGAGGGTCTCGGCACATTAGACATATCCCACAACTGTGGCATCGTATTTTTTTGTGGGCACAATTTCCAATGCTTTGTTTCACTGAACATCTTTGAGAAGCCTTCTGACATTTGTCCTGAAGCAGTGTAGACCTCTTGCCCATTAGTTTGGTTGAAGCATGGCTGAGTCAAGATGTACTACTGCTTTCACTCATGTGTGGCATGCCATGTGGGAGGAAAGTGACACTGTTATATACTGTAGTACAGGCAGTATCCAATTTACGAAGGTCTGGTAAATGAAAATCCAAAGTTATAAAAAAATCCCATGTTTTTATTTACTGTACAGTAGAACGTCGATTTAAAGCGATTAAATTTAAGATTATCGATGTAAAACGACACCCACAATTAAGGAAACTGTATTAATTTAAAGCACGTCTTTCCTATTTTGCACGAGTCAATCTGGCGCATCATATTTAAAATTTTGCGTCTAATGTTTCTCTGGGCACGCTACACTGTCCTAAGGGGAAAGCTGTACTGTACATATACTCAAAATAAAATACTAAATGATTACTAAAATTTTTGTCTAGTGCATGTTTATACAGGTATTCAAATTAATCACAATCTTATAAGAATTCCAGCAGTGCAAATTATATTCTCCCCAGTCACTTCTGTGGCATTATATAAACAAAAAACATAAACTTAAGCTAAAGGACATAAATAAACAAATAAATACTTCACTAGAACTTGGACCCCAACTGTCAAACATTTCACTGTCACTTCCCTCCCTCCCCCCCCATCTTCCCAGCCAGGGTTTGGTGTTTTAGGCTTAAAGTTTTTATCTTATATAATGTCACAGACTAAAGTTAGGAGAATATAATTTGTATTGCTGGAATCCTTGCAAGACAGCGAATAATTTCAATATAAACGTCACATATTTTGCACGAGATAAAATTAGAACTAAAATTTGTATGTCTAAAGCGATAAAGCGAGCTATAGCATGTTTATATTCAAATTAATCACTATCTTATAAGAATTCCAGCAATGTTAATTATATTCTCCCATGTCAATTCAGTGACATTTTATAAGAGAAAAACTTAGTCACTCTTAAGGACAGATAAATAAATAAGCACTAGACCTTGGCATCAACTGTCAAACATATCACCTCACCTCCCCCACCCCCCCATCTTCCCAGCCAGTAAACAGACCATTTCGCATCCCTTAATTTTAGCTGTGTTGATTTATGAGTGTTTGTTTTAACATAATACTACAAAAAACAATGTTTTGTTTATTCTAGGAGATGGGCTGAGGTGCATCTGGGTAGACTCTCAGTCTTTTTAGTATTTTGTGTTTCTCTAAAATACCAAAATAAATTATTCCATTTAAACAACACCTTGATTTAGTGTGAATTTGGTTTAAAGTGAGGGACCTCTCTTGGAACGTATCTCGCTTTATATCGATGTTTTACTGTACATAAAAAAATCTGAAGTTTAAGTAAGTTTTTTCTTATACCTGTAGTAATTCTTTTACAGCATTAAGAGATACTGAGGTACACTCATGCGCCATAGTTTCGATGCACCCTTTACCCCTACTCCTGACTCGATGGAAGTCGTAGCCTTGGCTTCACACCGAACGTCCCCTCCCCCCCACCCATCGTTCAGTGGTGCAATGTGGTAGCTCGAAGCTTCACTGGATTGTTCGAATAGCAGTTCATGATGTAATATTTGAGAGAATGTATGCACGATACAGGTTTTTTTAGTGTCTTCACAACACTCTATTTACCATCACTATACAAGAGGGACCGTTCTGTTTGCAGCCCTGGCTACAACTTTCCTTGAGCCAGGAGTAGGGGTAGAGGAGGGTGCATCGACACTATGGCGCGCGAGTGTACAGTAGACACAGACATCTCAGGGTTTCCTGTACCAGACCAGGCCAGTTTATAAAGACAGCTAAACTAAAAACAAACCGTATTGTATTAAGAGCGGTTAACTAAACTAAACATAAAATACAGGCAGCATTTTAGTTATCATGGCTCACAGGGTCACTACACGAAGTATTGGCAAAATTCTGAATTAATATATTTCGAATGTGGGAACACTGATGTGTTTAATATCCCAGAGTTGCTTTGTTAACTGATAAAAAATAGACGATTTTAAAAAGTCTCAGCTATGCACCCAGATTATATAATACTGTACTGTACTAATGTTTTGTTTTATGCAGTACTGTATTGGTAATTTTGATTATTTACTGATAATCAAGAATGTTATGTAAATTTTTCTGTAAAATTAATTCATATACAGTCTCCCCTCGACTTACGACGGGGTTCCGTCCCGACGACCAGGTCGTAAGTCGAATTGGTCGTAAGTCGAAAAGGCGAAAATAATACATAGAAATTCTAAAATGGGTCTCTTTTCTTCTCAGCACCACGAGAACTCTCACTTTTACACTTGCCAGCCATTTTAAAGGGAATTACAAACAAAAATTTTGTCATTACACAGCGCGATCACTAACGTCAGGGCTTGAAAATACACATTTTGAAAAATATTTTGTACGACCACGGTGGTCGTATGTCCGGGTTGTCATAAGTCGAGTATGTTGTAAGTTGAGGAGTACCTGTATATGAAAAATTGTGATGAATAATATACTGTATTCTAAGTTTTGAAGCTTGATGTTTTAATGCTGTAGTCATAGTCATTTCTCCTGTATGTAGGGAGAGAGATAGGGCATATCAAGTTATGAAACTATCTCCTTCTCCTAATATCCACTCCTCTTTCATTACATCTAGGAATCGTTGTAAGGCTATTCTTCGTAGGGCCTAGCGGAATTTTATAAAAAGAAAGATTGTTGACCTGACTAACTCTCCTTAACCAAAAACATCAGTACTGTAATAACTTCTGCACTCCCTCTTTTCCTCCTCTCTTCCGACCTGATTACTCTATAGCCAACTCTCCCCCTGATAAAGCCAATCTCTTTGGCACCTTCTCCGCTAACTCCACCTTAGACGATTCCACCTCTATCCCTCCTACCCCTGCTCCTCCTACTGAATCTATGCACTTTCCTATAATCTCCACTCGTAGGGTTGCTGGTGTGTGTTATCCAGGTTGGATTTGAGTAAGGCACATGGACCAGACGGAATACCCCCTCGTGTTCTGAAATTCTAACCCCTCTGCTTGCTTGCCTCTTTTGCCTTTGCCTCAAAACCCCAACTTTTCCTTCTTCTTGAAAGCATGCCTTTGTTCAGCCCATCCCGAAGAAGGGTGACCATTTTGATCCCTCTAACTATCGCCCCATTGCCCTAACTTCAACCCTCTCTAAGATTTTCGAAACTATCTTAAACTCATTTTCTCTGTCACCTTGAACACTTTTCTCTTTTGTCGGATCACCAGTATGGCTTTTGCCAGGCGAGATGTACTGGTGATCTGCTCTCCTTTTGCACCCATCTTTGGTCATCCTCTCTCAGGCAATTATGGGGAAACTTTCGTTGTGGCCCTCGACATCTCCAAAGCATTTGACAGGGTATGGCATAAGTCTTTGCTTTCTAAACTTCCCTCTTATGGTTTCTCTCCCCCACTTTGTTCTCTAATCTCTAGCTTCCTTGAGAACCGATCCATGGTAGTTGTTGTTGAGGGATCGACCTCTCGCTCTTTCTCTACCAATAGGGGTGTCCCACAGGGTTCTGTTCTTTCAAATCCAGGAAAAAAGTCACAGATAAAAAGGCACAGAAAAAAACCTAACTTAACCTAACCTAACTAAACCTAAACTACGTGCAATGCCATCTTATATATATATATTGTGTTGTCAATGTGTACAAGTCATGTGACTTATTTCCTGTGGACTTTATTTCCGTCCACCGTTCTTTCACCTACTCTCTTCCTTCTTTTTATCAATAATTTACTTCACACTACGAATAATTCTATCCATTCTTACACTGATGATTCTACTCTTCACTCTTCTTCATATTTTCCCCTTCCTCCTAACTCTCAAACTAGATCTGTTTCTAGAGATGATATCATTTCATCTATCAATGCGGATCTGTGTAGCATCTCCGAATGGGGAGGTAGAAACTTGGTTAAATTCAATAGAAATATAACTCAGTATTTACCAATTACTCCTTTCAAATTAGATTATCTCCCATCAATCACATTTCAGGATGTAATCATTCCACCAAGTTCTAAAACAGTTATGCTAGGCCTCACCATTTCCTCTAATATGTCATGGAAGCCATACATCCACAACATAGCTAAAGCTGCCTCCTGAAAGCTGGGAATGCTGTACAGATGCCAAAGCTACTTCACTCCATAGCAGTTGCTTCAATTTATAAGGGATTCATTCGTCCTAACTTGGAGTACTGCTCATATCTGGGGTGGCTCTTCTTCTGTCCAACTGTTAACATAGGGTGGCATCAAAGGCATTTCGTCTTATTAACTCTCCTCCTTAGTTGACAATCTTTCTTCCCTTTCTCTTCGCCACAATGTTGCTTCAATCTCTCTCTTTTACAGGCACTTTAACGGACAATATTCGGTGGATTTGGCATCCTGTGTACCGCCGGCAAAGCCGAGGGCTCGTAACACTGTCTTGCCCGCGGTGCCCACAGTTTCTCTGTGGCTGTCGTTCACACACTAGAATAACCGGTTCTAGTACATCTGTACATCAATCTCTCCTCACACAGCCAAACTGTGGAATGCTCTGCCTTCTTCTGTGTTTCCATATTGTTACAATCAGTCGTCACTTTAAGAAGCTGGTTTTCCGGCATCTTCGTGGAGTAGATTAATATAATCTTTTTCTTTTCTCTTGTTAATTTCTTTTTACTCTTATTTTTTCGCTCCCTAGGCCCTGTTGCGGGTCGATGACCTATGCCCGAGTGGGCTTTTCCCGTAAAAAGAAAAAAAAAGGCTAAAGCGAGTGTTCAGGCAATAACAAAACAGATGTTATCAATACATAACAATGCATATGTGTTCATTGCGTCCTATTAATTAGTGGGATTTTACAACGATGACCTCATGATACCCCAGCCTAAATGGATAAAACCATGCATTCAATGATAATTGTTTCTTTGAGAAGAAAAACCAGTGGAACTGTAAATATAAAGTAATTTAATGAATGAGTCTGGAAGAATTTGGAGTAAGGAAAGTTAATTGTGGATCTGAAATAAATCGAAAAGAAATGGTGATGAAATTACACAATGAAGGAAGACAGAAAGACAGATACGTATGTTAGCTGCGATGGATCTTGATTGAAGGAAGGTATGTGTTTCAGATACAGTACCTTGAAGAGGGTGTGTCAGCAAATTATAAATTGAATCATAGAAACAGAGTAATAGGTATACAGTACAGTACTAAGTAATGTATGGAGAGAGAACTGTGTTACAGGCAAAGATGGAGCTATAAATGGGAATCATTAAGAACATAGAACATAAGAATGGAGGAAACTGCAGCGGGCCTATTAGCCCAAACTAGGCACTCCCATTTACACCCAACCCCTATTGCTCATATATCCATCCAACCTATGTTTGAAGCTATCCAGTGTATTTGAGTTCATGATGATATTTGGTAACTTGTTTCACTCGTCCACTACTCTAGTTCCAAACCCTATTTCGTAATCAATTGTTTTAAATTAGACAAATTTAGATTTAGGCGCGAAATAGATAAACATTGGTTTGGAAATAGAGTAGTGGACAAGTGAAACATTGTATTATTGATATGAGGCATGGAATGGTTGCAAGAGGAAGAACCAAAGTACTGTAATAGAAACAGAAATGAGAAGCAAGAAAGAATACACAAGAGTAAATTGGATGCTGAGAATTAGCAATACATATACAGTGGGGTATGCTATAACGAACGGATCCTACTACGAATATTCCTATAACGAACGGTTTTACCTTTAAAATTGAGAATGCTATAACGAACGAAACTCCTACAACGAACATTATTAAAAAATTTTTTTTTACTAATTTATTGTTTCTGTATTACAAGTATTAATGATATTCTTTATTTCAGGGGTTTAGATGCATATTTATGCACTTTTTTACAATTTTTACAATTTTATATTATATTTTTCAGTGTTAAGTGGTTGTATTTGGGGGGCCTGGAACGGATTAATCCTATAACGAACGAATGCTATAACGAACAAGGTTCTAGAACCAATCAGATTCGTTATAGCATACCCCACTGTATATATATATATATATAAATAAATAAATAAATAAATATATATATATATATATATATATATATATATATATATATATATATATATATATATATATATATATATATATATATATATATATATATATATATATATATATATATATATATATACATAGTTATATAAAGGGCTTACTGTGATATATACTACAAATACAGATATAATGAAAGAATAGGAAGTAAAAGATTGATATAAAGAGTATACAGTATAATTAAGAGGTGCATGGTTAAAAGGGAGAAGAGGTGATCAAGAGAGGAGTTAACTTTCATTACTTCAAATAATAAGTGAAAAGAATACATATCCTTGATATTAACCTTTTGGTTTAAATGGAACTGTTGCTTGTTTCTTGCTGGGGGACTGTGAGGCAGGAGAAGAAGGCCGCTTTTGTCCACCTGAAGGTTTGGTGCTGCTAACTTTGTTGCTGCTTAACTGTTGACTGTTTACCTGTAAAATAGTGTTGATTTCAAGGAGTGCTTCGAGTAAGAAATATTGGCGATTCACAGTTCTATGAAATCATCAATGTTTTACGGCCACTTTCCATTTTTGCATGGGTTAGTTGCGAATACTTGATGGTAACTCTCCATGCTCCAGTCTCTTGCAGTCTTTTTTGCCAAGTTCTTAACTCTAATGTCATTTCTTATAACCTCTCCTCATGTCATTCTTGACCTGCCACTGGCTCTCCTCCCCTCCACATTTAGGCTCATGCACCTCTTGACCTAATTGGTCTTTCATTCATTCTCTCTACATGCCTAAACCATCTCAGCCTATGTCTATGTAGAACTTCACTTACACTCTCAAATGCCTTCTTAGCTCTGAACAGGAGGTCTCTCAGTGACACATTCACTTCAACATTTTCATTTCAACTCACTCACGCCTGAGTATGTCATGCTCTTTAATTTTCTGTACTGTAATGTCTGGTTTGCTCTACTGTCGTGACTCTATTTGGGTTATACAATACAGTACATGTATAGAATTTTGTGAGAATGGTGGGATGCATCACAGAGACAGGAGGTCTTTACAACACAGTACATTACTTGCATTACCTGGTCTTGTCGTGAGGTTGCTTGTAATCTACTGTGTAGTGTTGGTACATATGGTAGAACTAATATAAGGTTTTACTTCTCATTTATGTATGATGAAGAGTACTGTACTGTGTTAATACCTTTCATAATTTATGTCCTGTGAGATGGGTTTCATGATGTTAATTGTGGAAAATACCGCATATAATGTTCTGTACTGTATAGTGTACAGTACAGTATACCTGTATATAAATATGGCTTCCTTTTCTTCAACATTACAACTTGATGTTAACCCCAAAACTTTATTATAAAAAGAAGTCTTACAACCACAACTCACTTGTTGTTGTTTTTTCTTGAGTTCTGCAAGATTCTCCACATGAGACCTCTTATTAACATGAGCGTGCCAAATAATAGCGCTCTTCACCACCGTCCCACACACCACACACATCAGCTGCCCTCGACTGTTGTATCTGATACATCTGTTAAGGAACTACTACCTATGGCTGCACTTTGGATACAAAATAATTACTAACGTTTGGTATTAGATAAATATAAAGCTTCATGACTTGATCATAATTAATAAACAAACTGGAAGATAAAAACCTCAAATAACAAAATCAAAGATTGCATCATTTGTATTACCAGATATGCTTAGTCTAAAAATAATATAATACTATACAATTTCTGGTTACTCCAATCTAACTAACCCTTCAAATGCAACCCTAGTCAAAATCCTCCCTAAAACATTCTACCAAGTTTCATGAAAATTTAATCCAAATGAGAGGAGTGATCATGCCTATGAAATTTATGTTGCTGTGGAGCAGTTATGTGACAAAGAGATGTTCATATCTGCTACATATCATCAAAACTAGTACAGTATCAGTATACAGGTAGTTAGACTTCCCAAAGCTACGAAATAAATTTTTTACATCCAGTGACTGGTAAGCGTAGAAGTGAGAGTGCTGGTGGTGCTCAGAAGAAAAGGAGACAGTCAATTACTTTTGAGACGAAAATGAAGATAATAATGCAGTTTGAAAATGGAAAAACAGTAGCAACCATTTCACGCGACCTAGGCTTCTCGCACTCGACCACATCAACAATTTTGAAGGACAAGGAACGAATTCGTGAGGTAGTGAAAGGATCAGCACCTATAAAGGGAACAATAATAACGAAGAAAAGACAAGGTCCTATTCATGAGATGGAAAAATTACTTGTGATATGGATGGAAGATCAGATACAAAAGCATGTACCCTTAAGCCTTCTAACCCTACAGGCTAAGGCAAGAAGCCTTTTCAAAAGTCTGAAGGAGCAGACAGGAGATGAGTGCGACCAAACCTTCACAGCATGAGTCATGGGTGGTTCCAAAGGTTTAAGAACCGCTACAGTTTGCATAGTGTAAAGGTGAGTGGAGAGACAGCAAGTGCTGATGTGGGTGCTGCTGAAGCTTTTAAGGAGCTAGATCGTGTCATTGTGGAGGGAAATAATTTGCCTGAGCAAATATTTAATGTGGATGAAACTGACTTATTATGGAAGTGCATGCCAGAACGGACATACATCCATAAAGAGGCGAAAACCATGCCGGGATTCAAGGCATTCAAGGACCGAATCACACTTCTGTTGGGGGGGGGGATGTAGCTGATTTCAAGATAAAGCCCTTCATGATATATCATTCAGAGAACCCAAGGGCTTTTAAACATGTCGGCAAGCACACACTGCCAGTGGTTTATCACAGTAACAAGAAAGCATGGATGACCCTAGTACTGTTTGAGGACTGGTTCCTGACTTGTTTCATTCCACGAGCCAAAGAGTATTGTCTGCAACAAGGGATTGCATTAAAGATTTTGTTAATTTTGGTTCAATTCCATAAGCTATTTCTGGTGCTAACCATCTCCTCCACCTTTACTAAGTTTCCTAACTTGGCTCATGAATCCGGACACCTGTTCTTAAATATTACCCGATCTAATGTTTTATGTAATAGTTCAGTTAGGTTAGGTTCCGTTTCATCAGTTCTTTGCGTGTTTTTACCTCATAATTTCCCTCTACTTCAAAGTCCGGCCCGCTTTGTCTGATCAAAATTACATTTTTAAGTGAAATCAAAGAAAAAAAAATTACCGATGTACAAATCAATATAGAGTTCCGTTCATGGCTCACTCCTGAACAGTTACCCTAAAAATTACTGTTGTATCAAGCTTATTTCCCCCCCCCCATTTTTTTTAATATATAGGACTAACCTGCCATGGCTGCATAGTGCCAATGTAGCCATATCATCTCACATCCTGAAAATACCTCAAATTTCACCATATCATATTAAGTTCTTTCTGTTTGATAGACTGGGGAAGTTAAGTAAGGTTAGGTAAGTTTGTTTGGTTTGGTTGGTTAGATCTGTTCTTCATAACCACAAATGTTAAGTAGCATTTATTTTAAAAATATCCATTCTTTAACATATTCCCACAAACTACAACAGTGTCCACTATAATATAACAGTGAAAATCTGGCGTTTTTATAATTGTTTTCAATCAATTTCGCTCACGGGTTAGTCCTTTTATAATTACTCTTTTTTCGGAATCTTATTATTAATAGTATAATTAAAAAAATACCCCACAACACTAATTCTTGCCTTAAGAACACACACACACATTAAAACTGGCATCCAAGCCTTATGTACAAATAATGTTAAATAAACAGCCTATGGATTAAATATAACCAAATTCCCACAAAATACAAAACCACATAGACATAGCAGTTATAGGAAGGTATCGAGATCCATTACCAACTATAGTTTTAACTTTAAAGGATACTTGGCATATGGCGAGTCAATCTGTTTGGTGACAGCTTTTGTTTTCAATTGTTCTTGTATCAACTTCTTAACATCCTGCGGTCTACTTCGGTTGTTATTCATTTTGAAGATAACATTCAGTAGTTCCACAATGAGCGTCCCATGTATAAGTCAAGATACACAGTAGGGCCTCACACTACCCACAGTCTGCTTCGCTTGATATTAGTTGGTGCTCATGACGGCTCGCTTTCCCTTTATTTTATTTTTTATTTTTTTACTTATTTAATTTTATTTTACTGGTATTAACCCACCCGGGCACAGGTCAATTTATGACCCACATCAAGGCCTGGGGGCAAAAATATAATAAAATAATAATAATAAAATTAATCAAATTTAAAAATAATAATAATAATAATAATAATAATAATAATAATAATAATAATAATAATAATAATAATAATAATAATAATAATAATAATAATAATAATAATGATAAAGCGCCATAGATAAATGTAAAAAAAAATATCAATAGTGAGAAATGATATACGAGGTATGTACAGTATGTTGTGTTGTCAATAGTAAGAGAAACAATTGAGACCCTGCAATTGTGTGTAAATGAGGCAGAAAGTCAGATGAGCAACCTGGGATTTGATCACAATTTTCGTGATGCCATATGGCAACAGGGTCTAATGTAGTGGATTTCTCCCCTACAAACGCTGTTTGTCGCTGAGTAGCCGACCCCGCGAATTCCCCAGTGTATGCCTCGTGGTCTGGGTCAACCAGCGTCGCCATACATCACAGAGGTCAACTACTAAGCCACGCCTACCCCCGCTATTTAAGACCTGACCTCGTGGTGACCTGTCTCTCTTCTAGCTACAACCACAGCAAGCAACACCACTTCCTCCGCCGCTGCCTGGCGGCCCTCGCTCCCGCCGGCGAGCATGGCGACCCACAAGCTCTCCTCCTCACCAACCAGCTCTCTCTACATCATGCTTGTAACCACGCTGCCACTTCCCAGCACCAAGCTGCAATGTACATCCAATACAACATGTATACAGAAAGCACATTGTGAGTTTCCTTTCTCCATCCCATCCTGAGTGTGAACCCAAACATCCCATACCCCACACTACCATTAGACAACACATTATGCTTCCAATATCTTCCCAGGCGGTAGTACCTCCCTGTTTGGTAGCTGCCTACTACCTACTACCTTTAGTGTCAGTGCCAGATTAACCATGAGGCACTTGAGGCACTGGCCTCAGGGCCCCCGACTCTAAGGGGCCCCCAAAACCAAACATGCTCGAAGTTGAAGCATATAAAACATGAACTTCGTTCAACGATGTCCGAGCAACGTCTCAATTTTCTGTCTCTTATGAACATTGAATGTGTTATTTTGCAGAAACGAAAAAGATGGGGATCATCCTTCCCGTGCTACAAGGACCTGGAGGGACCCCCCCCCTTTCCCCTATCATAATATGCCCCAAAGAAACATCAAATAGAACAACTTAGCTTAGCTTGGCTGAGACCGGCCTTCCCTAACCGCATGAGTCCTCTAATGCAGCACTGTTGACGGAAGACAAAAACCCCGTCTCCGCAAGGTGGATAGCCTACCTGCTGTTAACCTCCTCCTCTATTTCCCACTTCTGAACTTTGCCTTGTACTGTACCCTTCTTGCACCCTCAGAGCTAATGCTCTCTTCTCTCCGTATACCGACCGACCCACCGAAGTCCATTCTACCTAGAGCCCTGCAACACGCAACACCTCCTCTAAAGAAGCTCCTGCACAGCAACTTCCCAGCACCAGACTGTTTTGTATATAATACATTTATATTAGAAAACCGCCATAGCTGAGTTTCCCTTCTCACCTCCATCCTATGTGCGATTCACCATCACGAAGCCCCACAATTGTGACCCCCGGAGACACGTACTCACACAGGATGGATGAGAAACAGCTCACTCTCCCAGTCTTCAATCACAACATTGAAGACTGGCTAATCCACATGGAGGCAGCTCTCATCGGCTCAACAGCTACAAACGAACAGAAGTACGTCGCCCTGGTCTGTTCCCTGCCCACAGAAATCGCCACACAAGATGCAAAAGTCATCACTAAGCTCCCAGATGACAACAAATTCGCAGCTCTACGAGATGCTCTCAAGAGGCGATACCAGCGGCCTGACACCAGTCTCCTGCAAGACCTAGCCGGTCTCTCCCTCGGCAACTCAATGCCTGCACGTCTCTGGAACGAGGTGCGGAGACTGAACTCCCACCACACAGACAGGCTTCCTGACACTATCCTGTGCCAGCTTCACACTCAAAAGCTCCCTGCAGAAGTTCGTCTCGTCCTCTCAGCATTGGACTACTCTACTACCTCGGCGACCTATGCAGCCACAGCAGACAGAATGTTCCAAGAATACCATGCTGTGCGCCATGCTGCCGCGAACAACTCGGTGGACACACCATCACTTAGCTTCGGTCTCGTCAACCGGATCAACGCTCCTCAGAGAAGTAGTATCCACCAGACAAACAAGACTTGAGGGACCTGCTACAATCTCTACACCGCAGAATGGACACCCTCGAGCAGCTCTGCTCCTCCATGCCTGCAGCTGCTCCTGTTCCTGCCCCACGCACTGTGTCCTACCGACCCAGACACCCCCGTCCTGCCTCAGACCCCACCGCCAGCCCCCAGCACAGTATACCTACCTTCTGTTGGTACCATCAACGTTTTGGTGCTAACGCTAGACGCTGTGAGGCTCCCTGCAACTACACGAGGAAGCGACATCGACGGGGATTGGTAGATGCCATAACCTCCGACACTATCAAGCAGCACATCATACGCCTTACTCCCGATCTTGACCACTTCACTCCTGCTGCCCATCACGACCTACTGCAAGCACTACGACAGGCAGTTTCTGCATTCAAGGCTACTGCCCCACGCCAGCCTTCCCATCGCCCTGAACACATTCATCCCGCACCTCCTTCACCTGTCTGCCCACCGTTGCCACTTGCAGCACCACCTCGCCCACAATATTTCTGTATACCCTCTTTTCATCCTCAGGTACCTACTGCTCCTGACGTGGACCCTGCTCCTGATGAGGGTCCTGCATCCGGCCCTAATGACCCAGATACCCCGCCCGGCACCCTGAGGACTTTGCACCTGCTGCGAGAGAAGCAACACATTCCTCTCCAGTACAACCTTCTCTTATCCACAACCCTCCTTCTCCCTCTGCTTCTCCCACAGATCTCGTGTCCCTAGACGGAGTTGTCACCCGTAGCGGTAGAGTGATCCACACCCTCGCCCGTTATGTCTCACATGTGGGATACAACCTTGCTGACAAGTTTCCTGCAGCACTTGGAGAGGAGGGGGAGTATTGCCGTTAGTTTCTGATCAGCCGATCCCGCGACAAAGTTTCTCCGACAAGCTTAGCCGCCTAGACTCGCGGCGGGGTTCAACCAACCGGCTAGTTGGCGAGTTTCTCTGACAAGCCTCGTCATCTAGACTCTCGGGGGAGGGGGGGTGGGAGTCTGCCATCTGCGGGGCTTACCTCCAGTGGCTGTGTATATAAGCTCCCAGTCTCGCCGTGAAGTCCATTCTAGCCCTGCAACACGCAACACCTCCTCTAAAGAAGCTCCTGCACAGCAACTCCTCTACCACACAGCAACTTCCCAGCACCAGACTGTTTTGTATATAATACATTTATATAAGAAAACCGCCATAGCTGAGTTTCCCTTCTCACCTCCATCCTATGTGCGATTCAACATCACGAAACCCCACAGCATCTCTTAGCAACATTCAAAAAAGGGAAGGAAACGTAAACCTAAGCAAATTTTTCGCTATGTCACCAAAGCCAAGCCCAATGTGCATGTGGGACGAATTTAAGGAACTACTTCCTCACAAAGAGTGTCCTAAACTGCCCAATGACCTCGTACCTTGGCATCACCACCTAAAGTTTGGATGGCCATTAGGTAAATAAGGTAAAAAGTAACAAACCCTAAATTAAAGGAGCTGCACATCGCACTAAGGTATGGAATAACAAACAACAGATGTCAAATTTCTCTTTGTTAGGCTCACATACATACGTATAGTCAGCCAAAGATGCATCGACCCCACCCTGGGTTTCGTGCTCCTTGGTATAGGAAGGCTATATGTAAAGGTGATTGTAATTGGTGGATCTGTTTTCAGCTGTATCACTGTCAGGATAATTATTAAACAAACTAAAGGTAGAATTTTTATAATAATAAACTATTCATTGTTATTTAAAGTCATGAGAAGTTTCCAAATTTTCGTTTATTTGCTTAAATAATGAAGAAAATGATATTAATGAACTAGCAACTCAACCACAACCACAGCTGCCACAAAACTCTCATCAATTTGTCTTCATTATTTAAACAAATATACGAGCATTTGGAAACTTCTCATGATCTAAAATAGTGCCAAATCCACCGAACACTGCCCGTTAAAGCACCTGTAAAAGAGAGAGAGAGTGAAGCAACGTTGCGGCAAAGAGAAAAGGAAGAGAGATTATCAGCTAAAGGAGGAGAGTTAATAAGACGAAATGCCTTTGATTCCATCCTATCTAACAGTTGGACAGAAGAAGAGCCACCCCAGATTATTTTGGAAGGTCTTTTAGGTGAATCAGCAATGTGTTACTGAACGATCAATACACTTTAAGCCCCGCTTCAAGGGTTATAGAGATAAAAAAAAAGATTCTTAGTAATATCAGCTTGAATTTGTGAACTGAGTAATAATACCAAAAGATGCTGAACAATACTGGTTGCTCACAGTACATGGTCGTCCACGGAAGTACAACATCGAACAACACTTCCTGGCTCAGTTCTCCACCTGATAATTTTCCTTTACTTCTACATAGTATATAAAATCTAGGATATATTGATAATAGTTCAGTGTAGGCGGAAATATTTAATATTTCAAATTTTTCAGTAACTTTCCATAAGAAATCATCTCACATAAACGCCCTGTCATCAACGATTCCTGAGTCAAACCACTATGGACGATCATCTTTTGTGACGTCAGACAGGAGTTGGTAGTATTTATGGGCTTTTTACCATGATCAATCTGTGCAAGAGGCAACAGGTCTACGTATTGCACAAGTGACCCATTAATCACCAGCCATCTTTGGGACAGTGGGTGGAGCGTAACAGAGAGACGGCAAGGGTTAAACCAAGGGACATTATAAGGAACTTGTAGTCTTACTGGAGTAATTCAATCCTTATTAG